CTATGAAGCTGAAAAGACAAGCTTTTGTCTACATGGAGCTTTGACATGAAATTTTTTTGGAGGTGAGGACTCCAGTGGAGAAAGAACTGGGCAGAGTAGGTAACTGTTGAATTTAGAGTACAGTAAGGAGGAGTATTGTGTCAAAATAAGCAGTGCAAGACTCAGAAATTCATTAGGAAGCCTGTTTAGTCCCAGTTAGTTGCTTTAAACTGAGTCAGCTGGTGAAGTTGCAGAAGTAATTGAATGAGTGCTTGCAAGTGCTTGCTTGCAAGGCAAGAAAGTAGGTGTGTATGTTTGCAGGTGAATGAGGAGAACCTTGTGAGCAAAAATGAGGTGCAGCTATGAGATCAGTTTAAAGTGTAGCTCTAAAACAATTCAGTAGTTACTGAACCATATGCAGCAAGTTCTTCAGTTTAGTTACAATTAATGTCTCAACTTCTAAATGAGTTGTATGCTTGTATATGTAGAATGTTGCTTCTGCCTTAACTGACTAGGTTTGTCACAGACACAGCTGGTCAAGTGAATTAGTGTTATCTACATTGAAGTGAAGGAATACAAATCTGCAGTCTTAGACTTAACATTTTTTGATAAGTATGCTGAACTCTGGGCTCTGGCTGGCAAGGTGAGCAACTTACTGGAAGAAAATGTTCTGAGCTTACGAGGCATATAACCATCCTCCTTTTTTTTGCCTCTTTCCCACCCCTGCTGCTGAATAGTGACTTACTGCAGTAAGTCTTTGCAGTTTTGAGAAGCTGGCTTGCTGCAGTAGCATTAAGGCACTCTGTTTTGGGCCAAGGTACAGCAGAGAAAGTATGCCAAACAGTGTATTTAACTCCAAGCAGGTAACAGGCATTATAATGCAGTATTATAGACAGAGATGCTAGGTGTATTCTTAAATATTCAGGAAATTTGAGTGCAAGAGGCTGAATAAGAATTGCAGTGCCAAGACTTGTGAAGAACCTAAACCTCAGAAAAAACAAATCACTGAAAAAACACCCAAACAAAACCAAGCAAGTGCTAGAGCTCATCCTGGCAGATTAAGGAAGTCCTTTTCTTTGTGGAAAAAATTTAACTCCATTTTTGCAGGGTTTGTTACTGGTTTGCCTTGTTACGCTATTGGTGGCTCTAGAGCCTGTCCGAGTGCTGCGGTGTACTCCTTCTCTTTTCCTTTCTGTAGCCTACATCATGGTTCATAGTCACCCTAGGGGGTGCTTTTAGGTGTGAAGTGAAAGCACATCCAGGCTTGTTCTGTAGTTGTCCCTTTCTTATGTTTGCTCAAAGTTACGGAAAAGTGTCAGTCACTTGCTGTTGGCTTTTCCATGAGAAGAAAGGTAAAGGCTTCATTGCAAGTTGACAAGTGGTTTTTGCATCTTGTGTACCTATGGAAACTCTCCAAGTAATATGTTGGCAATACACTAGCTATGATGTTTGTAATATATATGTGTGCAGAAATGAATTTCAGTTGCTTCTTGTACATTAACAGAAGACAACTGTTAATCAGACAGTGCTTCCTAAAACTCAAGAATACTATGCAAGGTAATAACTATCCAATGCCAGTGCTGTTGGGTGTCTTCAGAAGATACATTGTGGGTTTATTAGAAATTCTGGCTTTTAGTATTCATCCTCAATCTAAAGAGTCAGCTCATGAGGAGAGCATCTGCAGGCCAGTGCTCTGGCATCATTACAGCTAGGGATTTGGAGTTGTGAAACTTCAACTGAAATGGCTTGTTTACAGAAAACCTTGTGCTAGAAGAGGATCTGAACTGAAAATTCACAAATTGCAAAGTCTGTCAACTGAAGCATGGAGGTCTGATGTACAGCTGTAGCTTTTTCTTATTGTGGATGCAGGGACAATGCTCAGTGTAGTTGAGGAAATTGTCTTAAAACGTGACAGGACTGTACTGGCACATTCAGCACATCTACTAGGTTGCACATGTTCTTTGAATGTAGATACCTAAAGAGAGGGAAGAACAAGCCAGCTGCTGGGAGTGAGGCTTAACAGATGGGGGGACAAGTCTGAGAACAGTTCAGTTTTAGGAACCTTGGGGCTCTGTTCTTGTCGTTCTAGCATGTAGGAGACAGTTTTGACCCACTAAAAAGGTCTCTCCTTACTCAACTCACTGTGCACAATGCTGTTGTGTGGCTTCAGATACTTGTAGTGAGACTTAATGTTTTGATGTTAAAGGTTATTGCCAAATCATGAAGCAGCATTGTATTTAAAGGCCAACTGGGACTCATGGGAACACACTACACAGTAAGAAACATAGTTGAGAGATTTCAATATAGAAGGTAACTCTAGACATCATGTTGACTTGACAGATGCTTTGCAGGATAAACCAGCTGCCATTTATTTCTTCTTTACAGCTGAAAAATACCATGTGTATGACAACAGACTGCTGCATGACTCCTTAGCACAGGCTGTTTTACTTAAAGTGGCTGGCTGACCCAGACAGGTCAATATCAAACTGAAGTTTCCCTAGACAGCACCACGTGAGGTTTTCTTCAGCTAACTCTTGTGTTTTGTGTAGGAGCACAAGTACTGGCTGAGGTGGGGAAGCATATGGCTCTGGAGCACTGCCTCTTGCAGAATGAAACCTGCTGGAATGCATGTTCTTGTAGTCAGTATGAGGTGATCCAATAGATCTATGGCAACCATTCCATAGTACCACTGATAGTTTGACATTAGTACCCAATTTCAGCCTCAGTTAACCTTTATACAGGAGGGGACTCTACCTCCCTTTCACAAAAGGCACAAAATGTGCCTGCTTGCTGATGTTTGTTTGTGAAGAGATGGGTTTTTTTGTTTGAACACAAAGAATCAGAGAGAATGCACAGCAGCATTTGACAGTGCCTGTGATGGACTTCAGATAGACCCCACCCTGGGTAGTGCTGGAGTCTTGGTCGGCTTTCAGCCTGGTTAACGCTAGGCTTGTCTTGCATCTGCGGTGTACTCTGCAGGGGATGCTACCAACCTGACTGCTCTGGCTGCACCAGCAAGCTGGCATCGTTTCCAGCTATAGCAGGCTTTTTCTGGTCCATTGTAAATATTTGTGCTCTAAAGTATAAGTTGTAGACTGAAAGTGTCAGGTATTATTCAAAAGCTTTAAACCTTTCTGTTAGTTGGGAGTATTTGCTTATGGCTAAGGAGCTAGGGTAAGAGAAATAATGATGAAGGGGGAAAGCCCACCTGCTGAGGAGTAGAGTTTACAGCTTTCTCAACTTCTTAACATCAAGGCATCTAGCTGTAAAGTTCATTGAACAGCAGTATCTTATGGGATCATGTATTTTATGGTCTACTTATGCTTAGAAACTTGAAAGTATATAAGATTAAAAAAACCCCAAGATCGCTATTAATCTTGCTTTCTGCTTTTGCTGTTGTCTGTGGTGTTGGACCTTTTAGTGGAAAGAACACTAAACTTTCAGAAGATACTTATGGCTCCGGTGATCTGGGGATTAGGATAGGGAGCAGTTCTGCCTAACTCGTATTTAATACCTGGAGCTGATTTCAGACGTTTCTGGTGTGCTAACACAGAGCTACTAGTACTAGGCTGTGTCGGTACAGTGTAACAAGACCGAATCTGAGCAAGCAGAATGCCGATCACTAATTTCTGGTGCTGTGCAGGTATCTTGATCATATACATGTTCCTTTTTGCATCGTATGGGGTATGTGAGGTAATGGTTTGTGTAATACCAGTTTACGTGCCTAGTGTCTTACGGCCTGCAGTTAACTGGAATCACTCTTT